TAAGGTGGAGGGTCAGAGAAAAAGAGGAAGACCCCAACAAGATGGACTGGCCAGGTGGTGGCATCGATAGACTCAAGCGTGGCAATAGTGAGGTTGGCCCAGGATCAGGCAGTGTTTCAGTCTGCTGTGCATAGTAGGGTCACTATGAGTCAGTGCCAACTCAATGGCACCTAACAACAACAACAACATAATCAACAGCGTCAGAGCAGCAGTCAAGAAATCAAACAACATATTTTATTAGGTAAATCTGCTGCAAAAAAAAACCTCTTTAAAGTGTTCAAGAGCAAAGACACCATTTTGAGGACTAAAGTGCACCTTACCTAAGCCTTGGTATTTTTAATTGCCCCATATGCATGTGAAAGCTGAATAAGGAAGACAGTAGAAGTATCAATGGTTTGAGCTGTGGTGTTGGAGGAGAGTATTAAAAACACAATGGACTGCCAGGAAAGAAACAAATCTGTGCTGGAAGAAATATAATCAGAATGTTCCTTAGAAATGAGGCACCTGGACTTTGTCTCTCATACTTTGCAAATACTGTTAGGAGGGACCAGTCCCTAGAGAAGGACATCATGCTTGGTAAAGCAGAGGGTCAGTGAAAAAGAGGAAGGCCTCCAATGAGATGGACTGACACAGTGGCAGCAGCAATGGACTCAAGCAGAGCGACAATTATGAGTGTGGCGCAGGACGGGCAGTGTTTCATTCTTTTGTACACGGGGTTGCTATGAGTCAGAACCGACTTGAGGGCACGTAACAGGATCGACTCAAAACACACAAACCTCATAACATCCCTAGTGATGTCACTGCTAACAGTCCGCGTGGGGCCCGAACACCCTTCAGTCACTACTAACAGTCCGCGTGGGGCCTGAACACCCTTCAGTCACTGCTGACCATCCGCGTGGGGACTGACAACCCTTCAGTCACTGCTGACCGTCCGCGTGGGGCCTGAACACCCTTCAGTCACTGCTGACCGTCCGCGTGGGGCCTGAACACCCTTCAGTCACTGCTGACCATCCGCGTGGGGCCTGAACACCCTTCAGTCACTGCTGATAGTCTGCGTGGGGCCTGAACACCCTTCAGTCATTCTCTCATGCAGTTGAGAGAAACAGAATCCTGTGGCCTGCCCTTTGTGTTCAAGTCTCAACGTAAAATCTACATGCATAGCACTGCATCAACTGGCTGCACTGGACATTTGATTTGGTCACAGCACGCCTTCTTTATGACAAACATTAACTGATCTCTTGATCTTCACTCAATTAACAGCTGTCCTCTGAAACACAACAGTAATGGAACAGAAAGAACAACAGGAAACCCCAAGAGCAAATTCTGACGCAGCTTTGCCAAATTCTCATGTCAGGGTTTCAGTTTCCTTGGGGTCTGGGTAAGCTCTTTTTCTGCTCCATTTTAAATTCTCACACAACTATTCCATGAACGTCCCTATCTTACAAGGGAAGAAACTGAAGTTCCGAAAGGTTACATAGCTGTCTTGAAGTTAGATAGCTAGGAAGCAGAAGAACTGGAATTTGAAGCCACATTTTTTAAATTTGAAAATTGATACTTTTTTCATGCACATCCTGTTTAGATGTATAATCATCAACTTCAGGCTTTTAAAGTCTCTTGTTCATCCTCACAAGAGCCAACAATATATAACATAGCTTAATACCTGGTACTTATATATGTAACATTATCTTAATACTGGACTTCTGATATGGTGCTGTAGGATAAGCACTAGACTGTGAACCATAAGGTCAGAAGTTCAAACCTACCATCTGCTTTTCAGAAACCCTGTGAGTTGAAATTGACTTGATGGCACTAAACAACAACATTTAGTACAGAAGGCAGTCTTTATCTCTGTGTATAAAGAATGTTGTTGTTAAGTGCCATTGAGTTGGTTCTGACTCATAGCAACCCTGTATAGGGTTTCCAAGGAGCAGCTGGTGGGTTTGAACTGCTGGCCTAGTGGTTCGCGCTCTAGTGCTGATTCTACAGCACCACACCCGGCGTTCATAAACGAATAATCTTGCCTTTATTCAAGGTATGTGTATCACTGTAGAGAGCCTTGGAAGTCTGTCCTTCAATGGCCATATTACTTAAGGACAGTGAAAGGTTAACAGCACAAGGCATTGTGGGACTAGGGACAATGTCACAGACGTGGCGATCTGGGAGCCTGACAGCACAATACTGGGGAGCAGCAGTTTACTTGTCGGCTTTACTCCTTTCCTTCTCTTTTTGACCATGAGAAAGAGCCGGTACGTGCTTACTTCAGTTTCCTGAATGGGGTTAGAGTTGTCATCTACTGAGTGACTAAATTCTACACTTCACACTAGACAATACTAACTCATTTAACATTCATAAGAGCTGAAAAATCCCAAACCAAACTCACTACCATTTAGTTGATTCCAACTCATAGTGACCCTATGTCGGGTTTCTGAGGCTGTAATCTTTAAGGGGGCAGAAAGCCTCCTTTTTTCTCTTGAGCTAGCTGGGGGATTTGAACTGCTGACCTTTTGGTTAGCAGCTCAACAATGCCACTAGGGCTCCTTCTTGTTGTTAAGTGCCATTGGGTCAGTTCCAACCCATAATGATCCTGTATAGGGTTTCCGAGGAGCAGCTATTCAACCGACTTAGCAGACCAGTGCATTAACCCATAGTGCTACACCAAGACTCCACCAGGGCTCACAATGGGGTATTATTTTATAGTTGAAGCCCAACAGGATTAAAACACTACTTCAAATCCACAATGTAAACGTTGGACACAGACTACCATTTTGAAAACTACACAAACAAAAATGGACAAAATAGATGATTGGGACATACTAAAAATTTAAAAACTTATGTGCATCAAAAGACTTCACCAGAAGAGTAAAAAGGGAACTCACAGAATGGGAAAAAAATCTTTTGCAATGACACATCAGACAAGGGACTCATTTCTAAAA